GTACACAGCAGGGGATGGCCAGTGATGCCATGCTTCTTTTGGCAGCAGTGTGCAATTATGTTAGCTTAAAGTGAGCCTGAAGTAAAGTCAGCTAGAACTGCAGCCTAATTTCTCAGTTAACTTTTAGGAGCTGAGGTCTGTTTAATCTGCTGTAGATCTTCTTGTGTTATTTAGGTTAGCAGGTCATATTGAGACACACAGTTTATTGCCTCATTGCAAGATGGGGAATTCAGTCCTGCAGGACTTTACTTGGTTGACAGTCATTTTTCAGGTGAATGGTTCCATTGGCCTACCTTGGACCAGAATTTACTAAATTACTTGCACAAGAATTCTTTGACCTTTGTTTTCTTCTAACAAGAGACAACATATAATGGATGTCATGCGTTATGAAACTTGCTCCAAATTTACAGAACCCTGAGGGAAGAAAAATGCTATATTCCTACTGTTCTTTTTTTTTTGCCTCTCCTACTTGTGTAGTCTTGTTTCTATCTCTCTTTAGCTTCCCTATCTACTACATTTCTCTTGCTCTTTCTCTTCATTTCAACATGAATAAGGTAGTCTGTTGGTTTAAATCAGTTTCTCTATGCCTTTCCTCCATTTCCAATTGAAAAATTGGTAGAGTTGGGTTAACCAAAAAGAATCCAGTAATTAGATTTGTCTAATATTATCTGCTGCTGGTTAAGGTAGCTGCTAGTCCTGGTTAAAATGGAAAGGCATATTTATCTAAAATAGAGGGAGAAAACTTTGTGCCACAGGGCAGTGGTGCCAAACTAGACTGTAACTAATTCAGTATAGGAAGATGTATTTATTTAGTGCCTTTTTTACTTCTCTTATTTTGGTCTTCCAGTCTTGTAACTTTTTTCTGCTGCGTATCTTTAGTGGACACCCCCATTCTCCACTTCCCCCTTTACTGTTCTTTATTTCTTCTTGGTTATTTGTACTTTCTTAATAATGACAGAAAAAATTGGGTTCTTTCCCCTTCTGCGTGGGCATGCTCCCATGCTTTTGACCACTTTAGGTCTCTGCTGGGTGACTTTTTAAAGCTCGGACCCCTCAGGAGGCAGCAGGTGTTTCATCAGACCCAGGCAGTCTCAATTTGCCTGGATGCTAAGGTTACAGGATCAGTCTTCTTTCACTTAATTAACTTGCTGTTTATGTAGCTTAGCAGTGAGTTGACAGCCACACTGTCAGACTGTTCCAGCTGCAGAACTTTGAGATTGGTTTCACTTTAGTCCTCCACGGGAGACC